ATTCCTCTTGACCAGCTGTCGATTGGCTTTACTGGAACATTCATGCTGACGCTGTTTCCGAGGCAATCCCTTTGGATTCCGCTGAAAAAATGAGTTCCAGCTCTGATGATGTCCATCGAATGATGGACGAAAGCTCAGCCCGTTTTCACCCGAAACGAGCGAGGAGGTCTCGTGGACTGCGTCGACCTGAAGGTCGCATAAAAGCCAACGCGATTCAGCCGTCCTCGCCTGGTGAGATCGACCTCCAAATCTCTTCTTCATGCACTTTCATACAAAATGAAAATCTCCTCAACAATGTTATCTCAAGAGATTCATCGAAATCCAGTCTCTCTTCGTATTTACGCAACATGTATTCGTCAAGCGAGTAGAAGTCACAGAGAATTCACAATCCTATCCATCTGTTGCAGCTAGAAAAAATTCTTACCTGAAAATCAGGCGGCTTCTGCCAATTCGTACCAATTCCAAATTCGGTGCTCAAAATAACTCTGGTTACGACATGTTCTAATGAATACACAGATCAAAGGTCGAGTCTGGACCCCAGCTACTGTTTTAAAGAGAAGAAGATTACGAGGAGGTTTATGTGAGTATTTAACAAGTCTAGAAACTACCGTAAATCGTATGCAAGAATACCTTTCGGGAATCAGGGCTATGTGTGATTCAATGGAAGAATAAAGGTCTACTCATATTATAATTACAAAATTCAATTCCCAGTCTTTCATTACCTTAAAGAAAATAGGCTGAACCCATCACATTTATATGATTAACTGGTAGTCTCGATTCCTCATTTGTATCACATTTTGCCCCATCCACAATTTCACCATAAACATGGAGTTTAGCGAGACCTGGCCTGCCTTGATAGTTCCAAATGACCAATGAGTCACTGGTACCTGTGCTGGTGTTGCTGGTTCGAATCCCGTCAGAGGTGCTCATAAACATACTACCCTTTTATCCCTTCAAATGGCCTGGAAAGACTTATCACTTTGACAAGACTTACTCACATCGGATAGACACACATTTCTATGTAGATTATCATAAATCCAATTTCGCTTCATCTGTAACCGAAGGCTAATTTCTCATGTGTGGACCCCTCAAGTTCACGTGATCTGAGATCCTGTCGGGTTGTAGGGACGGCTCATCAAGTTAGTACCGAATCAACTAACTAGACTCGACGAAGCTTGATCTAAGGTGTCAAAGCTAAAAGATTGCTTCTTTGTCTGTACATTTCATTGGCCTTAAAGTATCCGGAGCAAAGTGATGCTCTACAACCTTCGTGTGAATCAATGCTCGACTAGTGAAGGAGGCGAGGAGACATCAAACCCGTCAGAAATGGGGCGATTCGACTCTTGAGGGAGGGCAAGGGATGGCCAAAGCTACTATGCATTCCACGGGCTCTGCCAATCGGGAGACGAGTTGACGGAATGGGGAAAATATTCACGGCTGGACGGCTCAGAAAAAGGGGAGGAGAATCGGTGATGAGGGAAAATGGATGTTGCAGCACTTTTATATGTCTGCAAGCCTGAACTGCTCACAAAGCGATTGCGGAAAAGTCAGACTGCTTGCGAAACTTCACAGGCAGGACCAGCAAGAAAGTTGATGTGATAATAATTCCGTTTAAAGTAAATCAGATTACTCCCCTTCCTTTGCCCCTTTCGACTCTTCCCTCCTCTTGTCCTGTTTGTCGTCTTGTCGCCCTCTCTTGGCTCCGTATCCCCCACAAACTTTCCTCCCACTTTGTCATATTCCCACCTCTCTCTCCCTCTCCCTCTCTCCCTCTTTCTCCTTTTCCCAACAAACCAGCCTATCCATCTCTCTCCCTCTCCTTCTCAATTGCTCCCACAGCTACAGCTGCTTCGTCGCGCCGTTTTCTGCTCCAGCTCTGTCCCCATTTGACAACTCTTCGCACCCGTTCTCATGACCCTCTTGAGCTAGTTGTCATGCCGTCCCGATGGGTCTATCGCCCAGCCTCGACTTTGTGGTATGCGGTTGTCAGGACAGATCCACTCTGGCCTATGGCGATAAACTTCATTCAGACTTCTGGAGCGGGCCGGGCTTGACATCCTTTAGGATCGGCGCAACATGCAAAGTGGCTTCTTCACCTCCACTTTGCTGTGGCCCTAAATCCGAAAGGGAGCATGTCCAAGTCGGTAGAGGTTTGGGTCACGAAGACTGATTGCGACCCGTTTTGAGTCGCTCGGACTAGCTGTACTATGATCACGAGTCATACTGGATCGTTTCAGGAGGGAGAGATACTGTTGAAGGCTCCACGATGACAGTGGATTTCGCGAGTAAATTACTTTAAAAAG